CCACGTTTCTGCCATATGTCTTAGCAAAGCTCAGGACTTAGAGGCAGTAGCAGACAGTGGGCTTAGCTCAGGTAGGGAGGTGGCCCTGTGTCATAGAGACTGTTAGAAAGACAGCGAGCTGTTGAAACAGCTGAGTTTGGAAATAGTGCTTCCCCTTGTCTGCCCTCTTCTCTTGAGAGACTCTAAAACATCTGAAAATGCAAAAGCACTTCACCAGGTTTTAACTTTTCTGGATCAAACAGAAGCAGCTTCAAATCAACCAGAGCACAGGAGTCCTTGTACATTTTGTACACATTTTTCCAGGTGAAATCAAGAAGGGCAAGCTTTTCCTTTTGTTTCCTTTCTTTTCTTTTCCCTCCCTCCCTCCCTCTCTCTCTCCCTCTTTGCCCCCCTTCCTTCTTCCCTTCTTCTCTCCCTCCCTCTGTCCGTCCCTTCCTTCCTACCTTACTTTTGGTGACTTGTTTTGCATTGTGCTGAACTGGAAGAACATTTAATCCTTGGCCTACTGTCTGTTGAGATACTATGTTTTTTTAATAGTGCTTGTTTAGGACTAAGGTCAAAGACAGAATTTCAGAACAAAAATTAGAGTTAGTTCATAATTGAGTACATATGTACGTAACTGTTTATTTTTATAGTTTGCTAATTTATTTTTAAACAGCTCAGTTATGCCAAAATGTTTATAGCTTTGTTCATCACATGCCTTACCAGTCAGGGTGTTAAAAGGCACATGCTTTTCAGTAGTTTGCATCCAAGTTAAATTAGATAATGCTATCAGGTATCAATTTGATTACATTAATTGAATGTTTAGGTGAAAAGGTAGTTTTAAAAAGGCTATAATGAAAAATTATAAATACACATGTATAAATCTCAGTGTTATCGACATTATTTGATGTTGCTGACAGAAAAATGGATATACCTCAGGCGCTTAGGAGGAAACATGAGGGATTCTCTCGAATCAGTGGTAAGTGCTTCCTTTGCCATTCAGGATGCTGCTGGGCACGACCATTTCCCAAGTGGGTTGCCTTTCTCATTAGTCCTCTGAGCAGACACACAGAGGCACTTGCATATGTTTTGTATAGCCAGGGCTTTCTCGGGGAGAGCATGCCAGCTTGGGCAGGCTCACTGTCTAGTGAGGTCTTTGTCACCTTGGAGGGATGAGGCCTGGCACACTCGGGTTTACCTCTGTGGCACTCCAAGCCAGTTCAGTCTTGAATCTGAGGAAGGATGTCTCAGGGTTCCAAGGGATTCTGTGGGCCAGGGTGGAAGCCGCCAGCAGAGCCCTGGGGCCTCAGAGGAGTCAGATCAGCCCAGAGCTCTTGCCTGGGAAGGTGACTTCCTCTGATGCAGAGGGAGTTAAACAAGGTGGCCAGAGCCCCCACCCCTGGTCAGCTGCCTTTCCTCCGGGCCCTCAGACAAAATGGGAGTGAGCGCCAGCGTTTGGCTTATCTGACAAGCTATTTGGGGCCCAGGTGTTCTTTTCCACCTCTCTATGATTTAGTGGGGTAGGTGTCAGATGATGGCTAGCAAAAAGGGATTTTTAGGTGTGCTAACAACAGATTCTTTGCCTATGAGTAATTCATTGTCTTCTGACACCATCTGGTTTCACCCAGGCTGCAAAGCCTAGCGTGGTGTCCCATACCCTGCAGCACCCTATGTGGGTTACCAAATGCCACCGTGCCTCCCCCACTGCGTCTGGCAGTTAAAGCAGGTGGGTCTGCTTTGCTCCTCGGTGTTGGCTGGATTCTGATTTTTCTGCCTGCTGTTGTTTTGAGGGATGCTGTCTTCCTCCCTCAAGTAGAGTTGTTCCTGGCAACATCTGTAGTTGGCCCTTCCCCTTTAAGGGGAATGACTTTGTCTGACATTAAAGACCCAGGTGGCGGATTTCCTTTCCTCATCACCACATGGCCCCCCTGTGTCCCCTGCCTTTGGGAGGGGCTGACATGTCACAACACTCTTTCCTTGGTGACCTTGAAGGTCTCTGTCCAGTGAAAAATGCTGAGGGAGCTGGAAGGAAGGGTGGAGAGGTGTGCCTTGGAGGGGCAGGAGCCCTGCTGGTTGGCACAAGAAGGTAAGGAGGGTTGGTTTGGGCCCCAGGGAAGGACAGGAAAGCCCTCCTTCCCGGCTGCAGGTGCCTGTTTGTCCAGCTGAACATGGCCCCACTGGGCTGACTACCTGATGAGTGATTTTCCCCAAGCTGACAGCTGCTCCAACACATTTTGCCTACAAGTCCTGACAAAGTGGTGTGTTCTTTTGGGGCTGTTATTACTGTAGCAGGCATTCGGAAGAATCTGGAAGAATGGGGCTCCAAAGGATAACCTTGAAGCTTGAAGCAGTTTCTGAGTATCTGTTCCTTCCCTTCTTGCCAACTGTCTAGCCTTTTGGGCTTATGAAAAATTGGACCCATCTCTTACAAACATCCATTGTGCTGTTAATAATGAGGATAGAAATGAACTCAGTGTGTTGTTAGGGTTCTTGAGTAAGCCCTGTGATGAGCATTGTCAGATTTGAGCCTTACCTTATCAGTAACCTTGTGAAGAGGCAGGAGAGGTGGTGTCTGAAGCCCAGAGAGGTTAGAGGGCATGTCTGGTCTCACACAGCCGCTGGATCAACCTAAGATTGGGATCCAGGTCTCCTCACTCCTGGCCCTCCAGCTAGTCCACAGCTTGCCCACCAGGCAGATGGGGCTTGTTCGAAGAAGGCTGGTGTTTGGTGGACGATCTGTTCAAGCAGTTTGGAGTAGGGAAGTGGGTGACAAGAATTAGTTTGATCTTGGAGGGTTTGCAGGGACAGAAATGTGCCTGACATTCAGCCTTTCTATACCATTTCAAGAATGTGGCCATCGTCCCTAAGAGCTGGGGGAGACGTTAATTTGGTGGAGCTTCTCAATACATACCTCAAGTAGAGTTCCTGATGGGCAGCGGTCTGCACCTCTCAGACTTATTCCTGACACCCTGTGACGCTGAGAGAAGGCTCTGCAGAGGAGGGCTTGGGGGAGGCAGACGGGGGCTGCCTGCTTCAGGACACTTGGCCTTCCGTTTGTATTTTGCCTTTGATCGACTTTGCCTGGTTTCAAGGGTGCTGAGCTCCCATTTCAAGGAGAACATTAGTGGAAATATAAAAACCACAGGTAGTCAGAGGTTGACTTGTTTGTTTTATTATACCGTCCTCTTTGGGAGAGTCAGCTGGCAGGGTAGAAGAGTCAAGCGTGTGTAATATTCTGGCACTCAGATTGGTGGCCTCTACCTTTGCAGTGGGGGTGGCTGGGCTGGGTGAAAAGAAACCCTTAGGCAATTTAGAAAGGGAAACATGGACCAGACGCACCTCTGGAAGACTGCATCTCCATTGTCATCCCTCCACGTGTGCGGGCAGGCGGCTGTGCGTAACTGCTGGGGAAGCCCCGTGCGGGTGAGTCCCCGGCTCTCTTCCCTTCTGCGGAGGCTCAGTGGGCATCTGTTCTGTGTGGGGAGTCCTGCCAGGCAAGTGTGAGTGGAGGAGGAGAGACCAGGGCCCTGTGGCACAGGGGTGGTGTAGGCTGAATGATGCTTTTTTGAGTGCTCAGAATGTGCCATCTAAAGCCGTGAATGCTTCCCGTAGGTGGTGGGAAATGAGGGCATTTGACCTGGTTTGGCCTTAACACTTCAGCGTCTTTCCTTTCCTTCCTTCCTTTTTTGGTTTGATTGGACTTTGACACTCAGGTTCTTTCATTCTCTCTCCCCCTCCCTTCTTTTCTTCTTCCCACCTCTTTTTTATTTTTTGAATCAATAAACAGTTGGTAATCAATTTTCAGATAGTTTAGATGAACACAAGTTATTTACTTTTTAAAACTTTACAAAAAGACTTAAACTCTTGACAAAATATCCAGAATACTGTTCCTCTCAATGGGTGTTGGGTTTGCATCTTGTCTCCCGGATCTTATGAACAGGTTAAATTAGTCTTCACAAAATGTCACGTTTTCCTGGCAGAGCCATCTGGTTATTTGATGAAGGCCTTTCAGACCTAGGCTGGGTGTGGAAACCAGTTGTAAACTCTGAAACAGCCACTAGTGTGGGTGCTTGGGCACACTCAGACCTGAACTCTGCAAACTCCTCCCCTGCTTTGGGCCAGGACCTGGGAGGGGAAGTCTAATCCGTAGGTGGGAAGATTATGCCTCGTCCTGGGAAGAGAGAGAGGAAAAGGTACATAGGGAATTGTTATGGTACTCAAGGAAGCAAGAGCCAGCTGTTTTCCAGGGAGAAGTCTGGGCCCTGAAATTCCTGCTCAGGCTGGGGTGGGTGGCCTGAGTGTGGGTATTAAGTCAAAATCCCTGGAGAAGTGAGGGTCCTTTGCACCTGCCTTCTGTTTGTCTCTCGGGTCCCCTGGCTGGACTTCAGTCTGTCCTTCCACCTGTGTGGAGACTGCTGAGGTTTCAGAATGGGGCCGACATGCTCAGTGTGTTGCCCCTCTCTCCTGGGACTGGGGGAGACCCAGTTTGGAGAAGGGGGCCTCCTCCCCATCTCCCACCCGAAGGCAGCTGCAGTGAGGGGATCTGTGTCTGTTCCCTTCCCACAGATACCTTCATGACTGGCTTTGATCCTTATTTAAACACATTCCATGCATATTAAGATGACACATTGCTTTTACTTTAAGGCAAGTAGCTGTCCACCCTAGATGAGCCCTGGGCCCTAAAGACAGGTGGTTGTTGGAAGAGGGTAACAAGCTCACTGTTTTTTCTGGGAGCCTTGGATGGACCAGTGTTTCCTCTCCATCTTGCTCCCCGCTCCCCTCAGCTCATTTTACCCAAGAGAAACTTGACTCTCTTAGAGATTAAGTGCCTCATCCTGGTCACTTAGCTTCTTAGTGACAGGACTAGAATTTGTGTCTTTTGATTACTAATTGTGTGCTTTTATGTTCTATTATCTTACTGTCAGAGGTAAATTTGTTTTTTTGATTGGTGTTTCTGAAACACATATTTTAATATATGAAAGCATGGGATTGAATGTGCATAATACTTTTTGATGTAGGAGGAAGATAAGGGGAGGAAGCTGCCTGGGGACAATTCTGGAGCTATACTGAGATCCGGAGTTGAACGTACAAAGCGTGTGATGGCAGAGTGCAAATATGTGCTAGCAAGAACCCACCGTGCTACTTTCCTGAATTCCGCAAAGAAGTTATTCTGTCTGTATAATTTTATTAGGCTGAGACTTTTTCCAATGGTTTGTTTTTCCGTTTGCTCACAGAACATAGAAAAGAGCCAGGGAGGGAAGCCAACACATTTGCACTATTTACCTACTCCCTGACTTTGGAGCTCAGCAAATCTGCTGCGCATCACTTTGTTTCGCTGACTTTTATAAATCAAGACAATAAACTGTAAGCATATCAGCTCACTTTGAGGGACCTGATATCTGATTGTTGCTTTGATAAGTATCTGTGCAAATATTTATATGATTCTGATAGTCTTGAGCTGCATTGTTACAACATGCAAAGCTGTCAGCTTTCCAGGACTTCTTGTGGTATAGCTTCTCTGGGGTGAGGATTATTTTCAATCTGGCCTTTCCTCCCTGCAACCCTGTTAGTCTGAGATTTCACGTAATGCAGCGCCAGTTGTGTAGAAAGAAACACAACATTACCTCATTTCATCATTCAAATAGTAAAATAACTAGAGGAGGCCGCTCTGGAATGCAGGGAGACTGGTATAATTTCTCACGATTGTGTCTTCCTGCTCCCCCTGCTTAAACTTTCGTGTGATAAAAATTAATTATTGAGTTAAAATTTCATGATGAACACATTGTTCACTGTATTTAAGGAAGCAGTGTAGTATTCTGAAAGGCCTTTATCTCTTGCCACCCAGGTGAGCACCTGAAAGAGAACTTTTAAGCCATTTAGAAATGACTAATCACATTACAAAAGTACCCATTTCCCTGGAGGATCCATGGCTTCCCGGGACACTTACCACATCTATTTACAGATCATTATGGATTAGAGCCACTAGACTGTGAGCTCCTTGAGGGCAAGGAACGAGGCTAATTTAATTTTGTTCTCCCTACCATTAACGGCACACATTTGGAATGAATGAATGAAATTGGCTGCCCTTGAATATCAAGTGGAATGAAGGTAGCATTTCCAGAAGGATGATGCAAATAATGAGTGCAAAACTTGATATTTACTGACACCTTTCCAGGAATAGGTCTTGTTTTGGGAGCTGTGCTGCAATGATCTTGTTCAGGAGGGGCTTATGTCATAGTTGGAAACTTCTGTTGCATATTTAGTCAACTGAGATTGGGCCAAGCAGTGGAGGTCTCCCCGATGTTTCAGATGAATTCGTGGTGCTCTGGAAGTGCTTGTGAGCCCACACGGCTAGGTTACCAAGTTCCAGCAGCTCCTGAGCTTCTGCTTAGGGCTGAGTGCTTCTCAAGCACTATTTTAATCAGTGCTGGGTAGTTTCTGTAAATATCTTCACTGTAGACATCTTTGCCACAAGCGTTTTCACCATACCATGTGACCATATCTAATTGGTCATAAGGCAGTTTTGTCGTAAAAAAGAAAATAACTGGTTGACAGTTGGTTTCATTTCTTCATTGATGAAGTCATCCCATTTTTATATTATCTTAGCCCTCATAGTGGTCTGTAGGGCGGCACAGAGTTCTGAACCCACATTTCCCATAGAGCTTTGGAACGTCTCTCAGAGAGCGTATGACAACATCCTAAGAACAGACAACCCCATGGAAGGCTTTCACAGCGCAGTACAAAGCCCAGTGACAAATATGCATCTTAGTATTTGGAAACTGATTCCTCTCTTAAGGAAGGAAGAAATTTTAGAGAGAGAAGAAAAGTGTGACGCCGAATGAAAAGATGAATCAGCAAGCAAAAATGTATATACTACAAATGGAAGACTTTAAAGACAAGTGCGTAGGTACAGTCCCCCAAATAAAATATACACTATACATTTTTAATGTATTCAAATATTTTGTATTTCACAATAAAGTCTTTTTAATTTTGTTACTTATTTTTCATGTTTCATTATGTCCTCTTTAATGATGTCCCTCCTTTATTTTTCATGATTTTTATCTTTTACGGCAAAATTGCCTTACAGCCAATTTCTTATGTGGCAAAGATACTTATGGGAAAGTACCTCCACGATTTTAATCAGTTACTGCTACAACCCCAGGAGGCTGGCAATACTGCACGCATTTTACTGATGAAGAAACTGAGCCTCATCAGTAGAGAGAGACTGCTCCAAGTGGCACAGCCAGCACGTGGGGTAGATGAAGATTCATCATCTGTGTAATTCTGGGATTCTGAGTGCTTCACCTGCCAACCCACCAGAGCTTGAGCTCTGGGTCTGATGTTCCAGGTCTCTCAGCCTTACACCCCAGCGGCTGGCAGGTGCTGTATCCAGAGGTAGCAGCCACCAGCCTGGCTCTCAACTCTGTCCCCAGGGGTTGGGAGGAGTGGGGTCCTTTAGTGCACCTAGTCCTTTCCACTCTCCCCCCACCATTCCCAGGGCCTCGCCTTCCTTCCCTGCCTCAGAGACTGTCTGCCTGGCTCTTGGTAGGCCACCTACTTGATGTGGATTCCTGCTGAGGATTATTATTCTGGCCAGGCCATGGCCGCTCCCTACCCTGTGCTGAAGGCATGTCTCTCAGCTCGCAGGGGTGTGGTTCAGGGCGAGAAGTTAGAGGTGCCCGGCCTGATGGACCTCACGTGTCCCCTTTGTCCTTCCTGCCTGGGCTGGCTCTGCAGAGTTTCTCTCTGAAGCTCACCTCTCTAACACACAGCCCCTCTGCCACCCCAGTTGCTAACCCCAGACCTTCCCAGGCCTCTGGGTGTTCCACCCCAAGCAGAGAAGCAGGACTGTGGGAGTCCCAACCCTCAGTGCCCTGGGCATAGCCCTGACATGCAATTGCCTTGGCAAGCAGCCTCAGGCAGGCCTGGGCAGAGGACTGACGGGAGAAGGAGACGTGGAGCTGCAGTGGGCCAGATGAGAGACAAAAGCCAGCTCAAGAGCCAGCCGCAGGCAGCAGCGTAGGTGCCCTGGCTGGAGGGCTGGCCCAGCTGGCCTGCCCTGGGTGGGGTCAGGTTGGCGCCTGCTCGCTCAGTCTTGGTCCTGCTGGAGGCCAGCCAGGTGCTGGAGCTGTGTGTGGGGTGACGAACACAGGGGCTGTAAGTCTTGAAGGTTATGGTTTGGAGGAAGAGAGAAAGAACTGAGATGGCAGAGTACCAAGCTGCTTTGGCATGTGTTCCCCTTCCCTACCACACACTGGGGTCGGTGTTGCCTCCAGGGCTGTTTCCCAGCAGCCACCCTGCTCAAGGAGGGGGGCATTTTTCTTCCCTACAGTCTGAACTTGGGTGCTAGGGGTCCCAGGACCCAGCGGCTCACAGACAGCTGTACCTGAGGTTGGTGGAGAGGTGCAGGGCAACTGGCAAACATTGTCTTGGGAAGGAGCACAGCTCTAAAGCCAGGTATATCTGAGTCCCTTTACTTGCTGGCTGGCTGGCCTGAAACATGGTGACCAACTCCACTGACTCTCAGCCTCCTTATCTGTAAAATGGGGCTGATTACCTTTCTTGCCCACTGGGAAGCAATGTTTTGCTTGACTGACTCACTCAGAGGTACGGCAGAATGTGCATCTTCTTCTGGGAGTACTGCTCCGGCAGGCACAAGGCACGGTGGCATTTGGACCTGAGCCTCAGCACTGTGGGCTGGAGGTATGTGGCAGGACGCAAGGGCTCTGTCGCTGACCTCGCACAGCACATCAGGCTGGCCGGAGCTCTCCAGGCTCTGTGGCCAGACATTGTTCTCCAGCTCACTGGGGTTGGGCCCAAAGATGGGAGATGATGGAACCTGCTTCCCAGGGGATATACCATATGGCCATCTCCCAGAAAAGGTAAAGATAAATGGGTTGTCACTGTACTGTTCTCCCTTTTGACGCCTGTGTGTGGCCAGTGTCAGAGGAAAATGGGGAAGGGATACTGTCCCTGCCTCACAGCCCTCACCCTACCTGCTTCCTGTTCTATAGAGAAATGTAGTTTCTGCATGAGTTGGACAATCATCTGAGTTTGATCAAGGCTTATGGGTGATTCAAATATATATATTTGTGTGTGTGTGTGTGTGTGTGTGTGTGTGTGTGGTGATACATTATGGATTAGTACATAAATCTAAGAGGCTTCCCTTAGCAACAAAGTCTGCAGGCTCCTTGGAGAATCAGCAGCCTGCCAAAAAATGGGTGAGTCTGGGATGACCTTGAACCTGCAGACAACCTCAACAGCCCCACCAGCTTCTCGCCTCCTTCTCCCTCATCAGTCAGCTTCCCACTTTTTCCTAATCATACGTGTTTGTCAGTAGATGGGTATAGATCAGATCACCCCTGTCACTTCTCTGCAGCACACTAAACCTGTTTGTTACTAAAATTTGAAAAACAAATGTAAAGGTGGCTATGAATGAGTGTCTCAGGCCACTTCTAAGAAGGGAAGTGGGACGGGGCAGCCCAGCGCTTCGTGGTGCCTTCCTGGTACCAGGATGATGCAATGCTCAGAGGCTGTCACCTCCCTGCCCCCTCAGTGCATGCCTGTAACCTTGTAGGGACCCTTGCATCTGGCCCAGCCTGGGTGTGCATCTTGTGTGCTTGGCGGGCACTGATAGGGGTCACTGGTAGGGAGGAGTTCTCCTCGGCACACACGGCCACATGTCCCTGTGCCCAGCCTGCAGTGTCCAGGACCTCTTCTGCCGGGGCCCTGCTGGTTATCACTGTGGGCATTATCTTCACTTACCACCTCTGCGCCCAGGGCTGTGGTGTCCCTTCGAAGAACCACACACCCATCTACCCAGAGGCCCTTCTTGCTTCGAGTCTGACCCATTCCTTCCTCCTCCAGAAACGTTTGACTCACCCCAGCCTTGCTCAGAGCAATGTTCTTCCCCAAAGGGCCAGACCTGGCTCTCCAGGGGCTCCCCTGTGGGTCCCCAGGCCACCCACCTCCTGGGGCTTGCCAGGCTCTGTGCACAACAGTCTGCAGCACCCAGCCCTTTGTGGGTGATGGGGAGGCCCTTGGCTGATGAGGGGGTTTCATTTAGGACTGTGTACAGGACCCTTCTGAGCATTTCTCTGATAGATCCTTGTCCTGTTATTGGCAAAGGGAGAAATGGGACGAAAGAGGCCATGGAGTCCTAAGGTGGCAGCACAGAGACAGGTGAAGTGCAAGGCCTTCAAAGGAAGTGAAGTTTGTTAACTTGCCCTGTGAGTTGCATTTTAGAGGCCATCAATTTGTCTACCTGGAATGTTCCGATTCAATGCAGGAGCTGCTTTGAGTCTAGACTTCCGGGCTCTTTGACACTTCCCTGGCTACTACCTTGAGAGCTAGTTTCCAGGGTTTGACTTGAAGACACCTTATGTATCTTTCACTCTTACCTCTCCATACTGTGAACAATCTGAATTTATCAAACAGAGCAATAAAAAGGTGATGCTTCATTTTAAAAAAATGATTTTTTTTTCATATTACAGAAGGATCCACAGTGGTACCCCTTTCTAATGGAATGTTTCTCTAGCTCAGGAAGTGTTTACAGGTCATTATCTACTCCACTGAGGGACTTTGGTAGAAAGAGGGAAGGCTGCAAGGAAATAAACTCAGAGCTCTAGCTTCGAGGATGCTAGTGGAAGAGAATTAGACTCTGCTGGCTAACAGTGTCCGCTAAGCACTCTGTGCTCAAAGCTGGGAGAGAAGGGCTTATGCTTCCTTCCCTCAGAGAACTTAGAGTCCCTCTGGAAGCAAGGGTTCCTGTGCAGTATCTGTGAAAGACAGAAATGAAGTGTGAAGTTGTGTTCCCTCATCTCCTGTGGTTGTTGGGAAAATGGGCCGTGTTTTACAAGATGCAGTTTACATACTGCTTTTCAGGAATACTGCTAGTGCGAACACTGAGGGAGGCTTGAGGAAGGGGTTGACCTTAAACTCTGCTTGGCAGCATGGAGAGAGCTCATGGTGGAATGCAGAGGACTGGCTGTCCTGTAATTTAATTCTGTATAATCAGAGTTGGCACCCCAGAAGTGGCTCAGGTCCCTGATGGATGCTGGGGGAGAGAAGCTGGCATGGAGAGAGATGTGTACAGGAGGGGGAGAGGGGTACTCATCAGACCCTTCCAGAAGGGGTAAGTGGCTCAGATGCGCGTCTTGAACCAGTGGCAAAGTGGAAGATGGGTGTCATCCCCCTCTTGCTGCTCTCCTGCTGGCTGCTGCTCTGAGCTCACTTTTGCCAGATGTTCAGAGCTGACCAGAAGACACGGGCAGAACCATCATCAGGTGGTCAGCACCAGCTCTGTCTGTGCCTGGGAAGTGGTTTCCAAAAGCTTCTGGTTATGGCCTGGACACGTGTCTCACAGGCCAGGCACTTGCCCCTGAAGTGACGCCTGTGGGGTGGTCAGCTCGTGCCCTCCTTGCCCATCCATGGCAGCCTGTGCCACCTCACTGGGCAAGGCATTCTGTAAACGGACTTATTTAAGTTCCATTGTGAAGCTCATAATTTGTTTTTCTAGCTTTCAGGGACCCTCCCTGGTTCAAATACTCAGGGATTTCACGGGCAAGTCCCTGTGCCCTAGTCCGTTTCCTCTGGAGATGCATAGTGTTCGCTCACCTCTCCTCATGTCCTAACAGCTTCCCTCATCAGTTGAGTCTTCACATGTGAAGGTAGCCCTGACTCCTTCCCTTTAGTTTGCTCCCCCCTTTGCTGGCAATCTTTCCCAGATCTGGAGAATGTTTCTTAGGTGTTTTTAAAAATATTCTAAGAAGGATGAAAATATTGTGATCATTTAGAGGCTCCCAGGGGCACAGCAGCACATTCAGAGCCTGGCATCGCAGTGCGCCCTAGTGTGCTGTCTCGGTCCCAGGCTCCCACAGTGGCAGGGAGTTTGGGTGGAGGAGCAAGCAGTATGAATGCCTGTCTCTGAGCAGGGAGGAAATTAGAGTTTGCCAGTCTTTCATATATGTGTGCAGATCAAGGGTCCCTTTTGAACG